GGGTCGGTGCGAAGAGAATTTGAACCAACGATGAAACCCAAAAATTTTAAGGTAGTCTTAAAAAATTCGCATTTTTCTAAATTAATCGTCAAGTTGGCCTCTTTCAACTTAGCCTGTACCCTGACAACAAGTGGAGATGTTCCTCAAATGAACTGGAGCAGATAATTATGTCATCTAGATGAGTAAATATTTTTGATTCGTACTTGGGTCCAAAAATAGCATCAACCAACCGCTGTTGAGGTAGGGCCGCATTGCACAAACCGAAGGGCATTACCCGAAATTGGAACAACCCCTTGCCAATAATACTGAAAGCAGTCTTTGGTCTTGATTCGGGGTCCAGAGGGATCTGCCAAAACGTGTAGCATTTTTATAGTCCTAGTAGAATTTATATGATGGAGAGCTACAATTTTTTACATGAAAAAAGGAATCATTACAATTGAAATAATCATTTTAATTGATCCTCTGATTTATTAGCTTTTTTCTGATCACTTAATTTTCTAATTTTCCTATTTCCACATCGAACCTGAATTCAACCCTGATATTCGACACCTTTTGGGTTTCGCATGACCTTGTCATCATTTGGGCTACCCAAATCAATTTGCATAGCCTCCCACTGCTATTGAGTTTCACTCAAGGCAGGACGGACAGGTTCTCGAAAATAAATCGGCAGTGGGTACCGAACCTTCGTTGACACGAATATCCAAGGTCCCTCCAGAGTCCTTATTCTTGAAACAGGGGAGCAGCGTTCCCGGGAGAACGAGTATTCCGTCTTTGTTCCTTATATTATCATTTTCATATCATTGAGAAAGACGGAACATTCGTTCTCCTGGGAACGCTGCTCCCCTGTTTCAAGAATAAGGACATAGAACGCCCTTCTGATTTTTATCAGGATTTGGGAAAGTTGGCGAAAACCACCCTATTTTTATATTGGTTTAGAAGATTCAGTGCTTTGTGAGCTCAGTTTTATGGTTTTCACTGGCGCCGACTACATGGGGGCATTGGGGCAGGTGCACCCATGAGCAACCTCTCATGGGTGCAGAGCACCCATGTGACCTCTCGTGGGGAATGCGTACAAACGTGTTCAATGATCATTCCGTTCCGTGTGATAGTATCAATATCATACACAACTTTGTATAAGAATTATACAAGTGGTAGTTCTATGCGCTATTGAGTTTATGTTGCTATTCTCCATACGAATTTTATGAGTAGGTAGCTACCAAAAATGTCTTCTTACTTTTTTTGTTGACTGAATTGTATGAGGTATCTACGAGACCAAGGCATTTTATTATAATAGGTACCTTTATGTTTGTTTACTTATTGTAAGTATGAAGAAATAGGTACCTACCCAATTTGTGTTTTATTTTTATTTATCTACGACTTGCACAATAAGTGACTATTATGTCACTAATGTTTGCTCATTTGCGTTATGTAATGAGCCTATAACGCGTTAATTATCGCACTAGTGCGGTAAGAGGTCGTTTTTTTTTTTAACTACACAATCGAGTACACAATAGTTATTTATAATTTTTTTGCTTGTTAGTGACCTCAGTAGATATTCCGGTGGATTTTTTTTGAGAAGGGTTGGATTTAGGTCAAAAATAAACGGCGTTGAGTTAAAGAAGATAGGCAAATACACATTTTCTTCTTCTACGCCGTCTATTTTTGACCTAAATCCAACCTTTCTCGAAAAAACCAACCGGATTATTTATTAGGACAAACGACAATAGTCACTTCTTGTGCATGTCGTAGATAAAATGTTATATATCACACGTACGGTAAGGCTCATTACAACACTCGTGTGATGACCACGACTCGGTCTACGACCTCGTCGTGATAATATTTCCCACTCGTTACTGAAATGAAGCTCATACCGTACTAGGAATATAAATAACTATTTTGTTACTGGCATTGATAATTGGTAGTAAGTGAGCTATAAGTAGGTACTTATTGGTACTTGGCTTACTTTTTCATTTTGTTTTTCTTGTACTTGTAGTACCTATTTCTTCGACTGTACTGTGTTTATACAGGATACAGGGTGTCCCAACGAGAAACAAATCGATCTATATATGAAAAAATGTACGCAGAAAATTTTTGAAAATTTGAAAGTAAGTATTCTAATGTCAATGGGGGTAACCAGACAAATATTACCAAGATGGTGGCTCTTCCGGTTATACCGGAAGTAGACGTGATGTGATTGCATATTTGGATTCTTACGTAAAACTCTGAGCAGATTTCATGTGATATCCCCTTTACCTAAGTTCAACTGTTTTGGAAATATTGATAGTTGAAAATTGACTTTTTGCAACTTTGACAGGCTGTAAAACCTTAATTTAGATAAAACCCGATTTCACATTCCTATCTTTGATTTTCATAAACTATCATTTGACAATAACTTTGAATTAACTCGGAGATTAATTTTAATTGGAATTTTTAATCATGGATTAAATTCAAAGTTGGGTGTCAAATGATAATTTATAAATATCTAAGATGGGAGTGTAAAATCCGCTTTTCTCTTAAATTAGCTGTTTAGATTTTACAACCTGTAAAAGTTACAAAAAGTCAATTTTCAACTGTCAATGTTTTCAAAACAGTTGAACTTAGGTATAGGGTAGGTATGTATATCACATGAAATCTGCTCAGCAGGGACGTAGCGAAGGCCTCTGGTTTGGGGGGGGGTGACATGCCTAATTTTCCCAACTTTATTAAAACATAAAAAAAATCGCGCCTCTCTACGTTATATCTTTCTTCTCTCTCGTCTCTCGTCTGCCGAAATTTGCCAAAACGTGTTATTCCATTCTCGTCCAAATCAGACCGCCGCGTAAGAAGTTTCACTTCAGAAAAATCATGTGTAGCATCGTACACGTGTTAAGAAGTGAAACTTTTTGAAAACTATTTCTTTAACTCAAGAGCACCAGGATTCAGAGTTATGCTGAAATCTGAATTGCGAGCGAAGAATGCGCAGAACGCAGAAGGCAACATAATATAAGAAGTTTGGATTACCTAATATACTATATAGCGCTAGTGGTGCTGATGCGAGTACTGCCACAAGTGTCACGTGCCACTGCCACAGGCTAGTGGCGTTAGGCAAAGTGCAACGCAAGAAATTCTCTGCGACCATTGGGATTTCGTCATTCTGTTGTCCGGTGATTTTGCAATTCCTTACGACACGTGACATGATCCTTATGTTAATTTTAATTAGTCCTCGCGAATAGGGTGCGCAAATTTTTGTCTACCAATTTTTCCCAACTCTAAATTTTTTATCCTAGTTTTCCCAACTTTCGATATATTTTAGGAACTTTGGGGGGTGCGCCACCATGTAAGTTGCACGTGTTCCGTGTTGAGAAGTTTACACGTCCTAATGGGGTTTTCTAATCTTTATAGGTTGATTTTTGTTACCCAATTTTGCTGTTGACCGACGTTATATTGCTGCTGTTGTCCAATCTGGATTTTTCTGCTCCTATTTTTATTAGGGTTAAGCTTCGGTCTTCGGTCTTTTTATGCTTTTTTTTGCCAGGCAAAAGACAAATTATTTTACCCCAGTTGTCCTCACAGTATGTTTTTTCTCATTAGGGTCCAATGTGCTCCAAATCCAACCTACCGTGCTCAGGTTTAAACCCAAAACTACAACTCTTAGTCCACGTTCTGAATTGATAAGTCAGACTCTGAATTTCTCAATCGATCAACAATCCAGCGGTCCAAGAGTCCCAACTTTAAAGTTCCACGGCGAAAATCTTGGCATCCAATTCGCCTACTCGCCCTCACACAATCACCGCCAGCTTCAAGTTCCAACATCTTACCTAAACTGAAGCAGGAGCTTTTTGAGACACCGAATTACCAGGTCAGATAGATAAATAGGGTTAATTTTTGAATTTCGCTCATTTTGAGTGCATTTTTGCGAATGATAATTGTATATATTCATATGGTTTTATTTTTCTATTTGAAAGTGTGAATAGCTATTTGGTAATAATTCAAACGATACAGGTAAATCCCTTTTGAACAAAAATAAAACCCTGAAGATTCATGAATTTTCTCCAGGTTTTCTGTGAATTATTTTTTTATAAATAACCAAATGGTGCTATATAATTTTCTTATTTCATTTGTTGATAATCATTATACTTCAAATTTCATATATACATAACTTTTATTATATTATACCGGTATAATTACAGTGTACATACGAACAGGTGTTTGGATTATCCAGAAAAATAAAGTTTAATTTTTGGGATATTTCTGAGTATCTTTTTTATAACATATTTTCAGCTACTTGACAATTTTAGTCTAACAAGATTAAGTTTTCCTAAATTTTCTTAATTAGTTCTCTTAACCATCAACTGGATATCACAGTGGCGTAGCCAGTTTTTGGGTGCCACGCCCCTTTTTCAGGTTTTTTTACGCTATTTTTGGGACTGTTTATCTTAATTTTGAAGAAATATTCATAAAATTTAAGGGTCTTGGGGGGGCAAATGCCCCCTTGCCCCCCCTGGCTACGCCAGTGGGATATCATAATTATGTAGGTAATTCCTCTTTTACAAAAAAATTTAGTGGCGCCCAATTTTCAAAGTCAAAATCAGGTAATATCTTTGAACTCATTTCCCAGCGCCACTGACGAACAGCTGCCGAGCTATGTGTTAATTAATTTTTCTTTTGAGTTAGGAAAAATATTGCTACAATGTTATGAGTGAAAAACCTTTTCTCGAGAAATAATCTCTTTTTTTTTGTCGGTAACAACCTGGACGTAAATCTTCTGACCAAAATGATCAGAAATGTCTGTAAGGATTGTATGGTATTTTATCAAAGAGGTAGGGATATTACTGAGGATATTATCAATTTGAATACAAGATGATCTACCTACTCTTGTAGCACTAGTGCATGCGGAGTCAGGCCATAGCTTGATGTTAACTGCAAAAAAGAATTTCAAGTTCCTGTAAATTCATGCTCAATTTTTCTGCTACCTATATATTTTACCCAACCATTCTAAACATGAACAATTTTTTTTTCAGATTACAAGAGAGTCTAGACAAGGCGGTGCGTATGCAAGACGAACAAGAGCATATGCGTCTCCAAATAAAAGACATGGACAGAATGAAATTAGAACGTGACCGATACAAACGAAAATACGAAAACTTGGCCGCAATCGAAACTGAACACAATCAATTGAAAAAGCAACTGGACAAAGCCAAGAACATAGAACGCGAACGCAATTCTTTGGCGAAGCAAACCGAAGATTTGGAAAAGTGCATTCGCGAGCAAGAAGACGAAATCCGAAGATTGGTCACTCATATCGATTGTTTGGCTCAAGGCAAGCAGGAGCAAGCGAACAAAATCAAAGAGGTGATGTCCGATTTGCAAATTGAGCTAGAAAAAAAGGAAAGTCTTTTGGTTATAAGCGAGGAAAAGATTGCAACGATGCACGGAAAAATAGACACATCTTTCCACAACTTGTCTGAAGAAACTACCGAATTAAGGAAGGGCAAACAGCGTGCCGAAATGAAAATTTTAAAACTTGAAGCAAAAATACAGACACTTTCAAAAGACAACCAAAAACTGAATGAGGCTATTGAATCATTTAAGTCAGAAAACTGCAAACTGCAACAAGAGCTTCAAGACCAACTAGAAGACAACGACCAGTTGCTGATGCAAGTGCAAGAAAAAGATAGAATCATCGAAACGATGCAAGACGTGCTCAAGGACAGAGAAATTCCGATAAACATTGACACGTGCAACGCGCAACAAATCACCAAGCTACAGCTCGAACTAGAATCTGCCAAATTCGAAAATCAACACTTGCAAGAAATCGCTGGCACCAGCAATCCTGAAACCAATGCACAACTTAAAAATATGCTTGAACAATCTAGAAATGCCATTGAAAGGATTGCTTTTGAGTTGGAGCAGCAATATGCTCAATGGGATGCGTCCACGAAGCGCTTTAGATGCTGTCCAGGATGCACCTGCAAAAAAAGAGGCGCACAAATTCAGCCTAAAGTCATTATTAAGTGTTGTGCAGGTTGTACGTGTAAAAAACGAAGTTCTAGAAAAAAGATTGAAGATGAAGAGGCAAAAAGTGGAAGATCAAAAAGTGCGTCTCCTGCAAGGTTCGAAGTAGCCACCCAAAAAGCCAATGTACATTGCAATTGCAATATCGGTTACGATGCAGCAGTAGATGCAACTAAGCCAATTAGCTGCAAATGCGTGCAAACACCTAAATTGAATTTGCATTTAGACTCAGATGAAGAAGCCGATGAAGATCAAATGTATACTGCAAGATCGGCTGATGAAGCTAGAATAACTGAATTGGAAACTGAGCTTCTCAAGGCCAACGATACAATCTTGCAACTGAAAGAACAATTAGGAGCTACTGACAGATTGTCTGCTGAAAATATAGCCTTAAGAAGGCACTCTACAGAAGTCCAGGAAATTGCCAAAGAACAAATTAAAGACCTTGTTGATCACTTGAAGAATGCTACAGATAAAATCAACGAGCTAGAAGCTGTTAATAGTTCTTTGAATTCTGAATTAGTGAAGCTAAAAGAGTATGTAGACAAAGGAGGTCACATGGAAGATATATACAATCAGATAGAGGACGCCAAAGAAAATACTGACTTTTTGGATATAGTCACTGATAAACTTAAGCTTGATTTAGCTAATGCAACTCAACAGCTAACTGAGCAATATTCCATAAAAACACAATCGTCAGCGACTTGTACTTGTATCCAAATCCGAGAAATAGCCAATCATTTAAAAGGAGCTCTTCAAAGAATTGGTGAGCTTGAATCAACCACATGCAGGCTACGATGTGGCTTGATGCTACCCAAATCCAAATCAGCAGGTGTGCAGAACACTTCTTCTAAGTTTGAGATAACAGCTCAAGAGAGGGACCTTGAAGATAAACTGCAACAAGCCAAATTGAAAATCAACGAATTGGAAGCTACTATTTGTAAGTTAAAGTTTGACTTGGCTTCACGTGGAAGCAAGGATATTGAAAGCTTGCTGAATGATTTAAAGGTGGCCAAAACAAGAATAGGTGAGCTGGAAGCTAAAAGTTGCAAATTGAAATTTGAATTGTGTCAATTAAAATGCAAAGCTCCTACAGCTCATCAGGACAGGGCAGCTGGAGCTGAAATGGGAGATTTGTCTGTTTTAGCTCAGTTGAAAACCGATTTAGAAGACTGCCTGAAGGAAAAACAAAAACTGTTAGCCTCATTCAATCAGCTGAAATCTGATTTGGAAGATTGTCTAAGAGAAAAGGCTTACTTGAACAAGGCCTTAACAGATCTTCAAGCTGGAAAAGCTCAAGACTTACCAGATATGGCTGTGTTTGCTCAACTAAAGTCAGACCTTGACAGCTGCCTCAAAGAAAAGGAAGGCTTGCTTAAAAGAATTAACGAGCTTGAAGGACAACTGATGCCAGCAGGAGACAGTGCTGAATTATCCAGATACAAAGATTTAGTTTCGCAGCTGAATTCCGACAAGGATGCTCTTACACAAAAAATACAGGCTTTGGATGAGGAACTAATCAGATGTAAAGAATCCAATGCAAAACTGCAACTAGAAAAAGACAATTTATTAGCTGCAATGAAACCTGATAAGGTAATGACAGTAGAAGCCATAATCGAAGTTCCTCTTGAACCAAGTGATGATCTTAAAAATAAAATCGAAGATCTTGAACAGCAATTAAGAGATGCTATGGCTGCCAACGAAAAACTCAAAGAAAATGGGAGAGTATTAGCTGAAGCAAACGCAAGGCTTCAAGACGAAATGCTAAAAGAAAAAGAAGCTAGAAAGCAGGCATTAGAAGAAAGTGAAGCTTTGAGAGCAAGCAATGACAAACTGAAAAAAGAAAAAGACGATTTAGATAAGATGCTTATGAGCAACGTAATGACGACTACAAAAAGAAGCTCCAAGTTGGAGAGTGACTTGGATGCAATCGATAATGAGCGAAAAACACTTGCCGCTACCAATAGAGACTTGGACAACAAAAACAAGGAATTAATGAGGCTTAATTTGGAATTACAAAATGAAAATGACAAATTACGTGCCGAGTTAGCTAAGTTCAAAGAAGAAAACACTAAACTTGAAGCTGCGCTGGATAATTTAAAGAAAACCAGCGTGGATGCTTCGAGTTTGGATGCCTTAAAAAAAGAAAACGAATTTTTGAAAAAGCAAATTGCCAGTCAAAGAGAGGAAATTAATAGTCTAATGGATAAATTAAAAGGTCGGTTAAGTTAGCCCCCGCCCCACTAAAAATTATTGGATGAAAAATTATCTATTGTTTTGCTCCATAAATTTTTAATTTTGCTCCATTACGCTTTAGACACTATATCGATTTTAAGGTGGGAGGGGTTAACTTAACCACTTTTTTTCTCTTTCTGACTGTGGATTCTTATACTACTAATTTCGCTCAATTTTACTCCGTATTCGCGCATAGCTTAATGTCCAAACTAATTTTATTCGTATACTTGATTTTAAATTTTGGCGCCATACAATTTCAAGTTTTATATGGCAGGAGAAGATTCGATGCGCTTCCCAGAAATCAGCGCACCAACCAGATTAAGACAGAAATCCGAACTTGTCAGTTGAGTTTTCAGAACCCTCAAACCGATCCTTTGAAATTCTGTTAATAATTACGTTAGAAAATCAACCTCATAGTTTTAGAAGATATTTTAAACCTATTTTATGTGATTGTGTTCGTCGAAGAATTGGTAGACCATCCAGGTGCACCTGCAGGTAAAGAAAACGTCGTTGGAAGAACACAAGTGAGTGCCTCCATTTTGTTCTTGGATGGCTCGGGTTGAAATATCATAGTTTTTATTTTTCGGCAAAAATTTAGATGAATCAACGCGTTTACAGTCCCGCGGCTCTTATTATCGAAGATAAATCGAAATTCAACATCAAACGAACACTCCGTTATTGAAAAATTTTGATCCAGAACCTTTCCGTAGTTACAGAGGTTTGAAAAATATTAATCAGCCCCCCCACCAATTTTTCCCTTGTCTGACAGTGGATGCTTTTACTAATAATTTTGCTCCATTTTGCTCCGTTATTGAAAAATTCTGCTCCACAACCGTTCCGTAGTTACAGAGGTTAAAATAGAATATTACATACGGAGGTGGAAAGTGTTTCATTATTGTCGAGAGACACTATGGTTTCCAATTTTCGAGACAATATGTGAAAACTTTCCACAAATACACTGCCGAGCATAAAATTAGGGTCACCCCATAATTTGCAATTATTTTGAAAATTTTTGGTTTTTGCGAATTGTTTTTTTTTTTTTGGTGTAAACCGTCACAATGCTACTACTAACCTGCGTGTATCTTTTTACCCTTCAACCTTCAAGGGAAAAAGGGTCCCTCTCAAAAAATGTGAGTCAAGCAAAGATGGGCTTCGAACTTGTACAAACAAGTAATAAATTCCCACAAAAGGCAGGCAGCAGCAACTACATGGACCTTGCACATTTTTTTTTTTTCATAATGTGTTCTACTACACTAAAGACATAGTCATGCCAAATATGAAGCATTGAAAATCAGCCGTTAATTTTTTATAAATATTTGAAGTTACTGTAGAAAATACGCCACGGAACCCCTTACGCTTCTACCTGCTCCGGGTAGGTCACTTGACACTGGAACCTAAGGGACGATAACACAAAGCATCCCTTTTTATGTAGTTGTTTACATAACTATTTGCTCACACTTTATTTTGGCCCTTATATTTCAGAATCCGTGTTTATACGGCTTTTGTAAAGTCAACTACGATTCGTTTTTATGCTGTTGGCTTTTTCGCGTCATTACGTAAATAAACTTTTCAAATCTGAAGCGTGCTTTTTGTTAAAACTCTTAAAAATTATCAGAAGTGGGATTTACCGAACTTGACTTCAATTTTGTAAATATTTTTGTATAAGTGACTTTTAGTGTGTAGCAAAACGCCCCAAGTACTCTATGTAATTAGTTAGATGGTAAATGGCGAGCGGTATATTGATGGTGTTTATTTTCTTGGAGCTGCTACCTATAAAATTGTGGAAGGGTCTATTTGCAAGAGAGAGAAACAAACTATTGAGATTTACTAAAATTATATTTTATTATACTTAAAACCAAAAATTTTAAATCAGCAAAATATCTTCCAATTCTGACAGCCTCATCTATTTTTCTAAATTCATTTACTTCACATTCGTTCAAAATGTTATTATTACGGACCACTGAAATATCCCTACTAATAAAGAAACGCCCTATTCTTACTATTCCTAATAACTTATAAGTTAACTCATTTCAACACTTCCGATTCATTCCTATTGAACTACCCTTCACCTATTTCTATAGATTCTTTAAAATCTCTAAGTCCTTTACTGACTGCTTATGAAAAACCCAAAATAACTACCTATTTGTTTATTAATAATAGGTATTACTAACTTATTCTTATAAAACCTTACAATAATTTCTACATGAAATTTAAAACCCTAATTCAAAATTTATTTCATAAATAATAAATTTCCTTTAACAACTTTCCAATATTTTAAGACAATAATTCTATTTCATGAACATCAAGTTTCTTTTCAAAATTTCCTATTCCATTTAATAGTTTATTTAATCAGAACAAATTCTATTCAAGTGCATTATAAATTCCCCTTTATATTTTCTTTGCACAATTAAATTAGAATGTCAATATATCTGAAGGCAATTAAAGTTATGCAATAAAGTTCCACAGTTAATTATAAAGTCAAAAACCTTTTCTAGTAAAAATCACTCAAGTTTTTGGGCATTAACAGTCATTGTTAATTCACTTCTTATCATTCAGAATCATTGATAAAAGTCAGAAAGTTTTACTAGTCAAAATCACTCAAGTTTTAGGCAATAAAATTCAAAGTTTAATCACACAAAGTCATGTTCATCATTTATATTCAAAATAAATCTTGTCACTATAGAGTACTTACATTTTGTCCATAAAACACAAAACTAATCTAATTTAATTCTTTTGATTACTTAGAGCTCGCACATAATTTTTGAACGAGTTTCAAATATTATTTCTTTCACGATTTTCCGTACTTTTTCGAAGTTAAATCGAACGCGTTTTCCGAGGCAGCTTCGCGAATTTTACTCAAACTGACTCATTGGTACTGTAGACTTTAACACAAACTGAACTGTACTGCTAACAACTGGCAACTCAACTAGCAACTGCCTTCCACTTCTGAAAACGCGCCGGTATTTATATTTTTTTGATACCCCACCGAAATTTCTGTGTCCATGACAATTAAGATGATGCAATCTCCTTAGGATTTTTATCATTTTTAGTCTAAAAAAACGAATAATTATATCGCAATATCCTGATTTATCGAGGTCAAAACATTATTGGTTCAAGAATGCCATAAATCATCAAATTAATTTCCCTGATGGCCTCGCTAAAAAAAAGTTCATTGATCGGGTGTTGGGATGACATCGCCCTGTCCTCTTTTTTATTATTTTTAAGAATTTAATTTAGATGATGACATAGGCTGGTGTCGAATTACGTTAGCGTTCATTTGTTTCATTTTAATTTATCGATACTGATCTAGAAATATCGGAAATTAAGTTTTTGATTATTTGATAATTATTTAATTTTTACAGTGAAGACATTGTGATTTATGGGTCTATTTTTTCGGATCATTACACTAATAACGTACGCTCAACCATCACTAAATCTCCCACATCATATAAAATTGGACGACTCTTTCTGTCTTGCATTCGCCAAATCGAATTTTTCTGTTGTAACAAGTCGAATTTCGTTTTTAACTTCTGGTCTAATCCCATACAGTAATTCACTGGAATATTCCTGTTGTTGAATTTTTGGTGGAATTAATACCCTTCTGCACCTGAACTAAGTATTTCTCCCATCCCCCAACAAACATTTAACAGGTATTCAACCGATCGCAGAAAAAATAGTATGTGTGTTTCCTTCGGTGTTTGCCGGCCTCGGCTACGCCTCGCCCGTCGTCCGAGAATGTGTCACTTTTCCACCTAAATGCACAATATACTATTCCCCTATCAGTAATAATTCTTTTGGGTGTGTGAACCAATTTTATTAACTGATCTAAACTTTTGCATACAAGAGCGCTACAAGTATTAGGAACATTCGATCCCAATGAATTTTGTAAAGCCATCTATGATGGCTAACACGTATGTGTTGCCCGCCAGAGACTTACAAAAAGGACCTAAGTGGTCAACATGTAAAGTGTGGAATGGTTCAGCAATTTTTTCCATCGGATGTTATTCAATTTTTCTTCTTCCAGTTGGCTTTTAACTTATCATGCATGCTATGCAGTTGTTGATTGTTGACAAACTTTTCATGTCATTAAACCAATAGGTTGCTTTGATAGAATCGAAAGTCCTTTGCCATCCTGGATGTCCATTATCGTCATGAAACATTTTAGCTACTCTCCATCTAAGATCTCTTGGTATCAAAATTCTAGGGACGCCATTCACTAGTTTGCAAACCTTATCCTCCGAAATACAGCAATCAGGTAAATTTTCATTATTTAGAATTTGAGATTTCAACAACTGAACATCCTCGTCTTGCGCTTGCACTGCACTCACCCAATCGGATGCCTTTTTCATATTCACAGTAATTGGATTACGGCTTAATGCATCAACATGCTTCATCTGTGTGCCAGGACGATGTTTAATTGTGAAATCATAGTCTTGTAAAGCAAGCCACCAGCGTCCAACTCTTGGCGTTATTTCTTTCTTTGCCCAAGTTAGTCGCATTGCGTTACAATCTGTCACAATAGTAAAGCGCCTTCCATAGAGGTAACTACGAAATCTTTTCACCGCTTCAAAGACTGCTAACGTTTCTAATTCAAAACTATGATAACGAGTCTTGGGATCACTTGTCTGCCTACTCATATAAGCTCCATTGTTTATTTTCTTGTTTTTGTAACAGCGCAGCCCCAATTCCTCTTTTACTCGCGTCTGTGTGTAATTGAACTTCTGCGTTTCCATTATAAACTGCTAGGGTTGAAGAGGACATTAGATCATCTTTCAATTGTTGAAATGCTTGGTTTTGTGGCTCTGACCAAATCCAAACAGATTTTTTCTTCAACAACGACGTCAATGGACGTGCCTTAAGTGCAAAATCTTGGATATAGGTACTTTCTAAAGTATGATGCTAGGCCAATAAATTGTCTAATTTGGTTAACAGTAGAGGGAGTTGGGAATTTCTCGACTGCTTCTATTTTTTTGGAAGAGGGTT